TCTGATCATCGATAGTTTGAACGCTTCTACTACTGCAGACTATGATACCCCCTAATTTCTAAGCGCGGCTTAATCAGGTCTTCACCCAAAAATCGGGAGATATCAAACGGTTAATAATAAACAAGCACATAATACAAGAGGAAATAATAACGCTTAATGGAAAACTAAATAAAATTGATAATCATTAATTCCTCTGATACCAATACTGTAAACACATCCAATAAGTAATAACCGTCCAAAATATAACTCGGGAATCTGTATATCATGGACCCTTAATAAATATCCATAAATAAATAATGTCTAAGTCTACTGAAGTAATAAATAAATATGTCTCAATAATAAATGAGAACTAGATAGTGTTATACGTCAATATATCCGAAGGAGTAAGTATGAATATCTCTGATCAGCATGAATAATTTTCTAGGACTACAATTGACGTGAACCTGAAAAGTAAATTGTGGGTTAGACCCACAAGCAAGCCCTCTCTACTATGACCTAATTAGAAAATCGATAATCAATACATCCCTAGCTAAAACTCATGCAATAGATATATAATGAATATACACATATATATACTATAGATGCTCACTGAACATATGACAGTCTTAACCAGATAGAGGGTATCACTTAAAAAATCGCACACAAGGTGATTAAGAGTCCATTTTCTACCAAGGCCAACATATATCCTATATCCAACTACTCATCTCCGGCAATATACACTTCAGTCTTAACCAATGATTCCAAGACCTCAAGCTCGTATCAGGGTATACAAATAATATATAATACTACGCAGCCATATCCCAACAATGACACTCATAAAGATAGAAGAACGTAGCCATATCTCGACAATGGTACAATATAGAGTGAGTCTAAACTTATTTGCTAGCTCACCTGCGCATCACATATCAATAGTCATATCCCAACAATGGCGAAAAAATATCAAGGAGATTAGCTTATTAACTATCTCAATGATTCCGTTACAGACATACATCAATCTCATCAATATCATATTTACCAATGATATAAAAGATACATACAACCAAATATCATGTTTTTAGACCACAATAACATCAATACATATGATTAAAAAAAAAAAAAAAAATAGATTATATTATTTGATTTCATAGTTGAAGCATTATCATAAAATCATTTGTAACTTATTAGTTTATTTAATTTATTATTAATCTTTGTTACACGTAGTGGTCTATAACACGTACATACATAATTAGCCAATATAACCTTGATTCCAATTTCTACTCATGTTTTTAGACCACAATAACATCAATACATATGATTAAAAAAAAAAAAAAAAATAGATTATATTATTTGATTTCATAGTTGAAGCATTATCATAAAATCATTTGTAACTTATTAGTTTATTTAATTTATTATTAATCTTTGTTACACGTAGTGGTCTATAACACGTACATACATAATTAGCCAATATAACCTTGATTCCAATTTCTACCAAATTGGTAAAACCGACCAGCCACTATCATATTGTCCAAAGTGGCAAAAACAAATATCCAACTAATACGTTACAGTTATATAATATTTATAATTATTCAACCAACACCTAACTAATACAACATTATCCAAATTGGTTATAACAGTATATAACTAACACGTAACCAATACAATATTGTTCAAATTGTTATAACAATTTTGGGACAAAAGATATAATTAACATGTTATGCGCCAAAATTGATTTCCACAGTATATAACTAACACGTAACTAATACAACTTTGTTCGAATTGTTATAATAATTTTGGGATAAAAGATATAATTAGCACGTCATGCGCCAAAATTGATTTTCATGTACAACAAATTTGGACATAATTAAACAAAATAGATAACAAACAATAACAGGGAGTTTCGGTTGATGTCTATGGGCTACACGTCGACAGAAACAGGGGAATCAGTTGACGTCTGCTACTTACACATCGGCCGAAATAAGGAAATCGGTTGACGTCTACCGAAACACAGGAATCGGTCGACGTCTACCGCTTACACGTCGATCGAAATAAGGGAAACGATCGACATCTACCCCTTACACGTTGATCGAAATAGGGAAACATGTCGACGTCTATCCCTTACATGTCGACTGAAACCTATTTATTTCTCCTTTGCGATTCCGACCTCCAGTTTCGCAACTCCATTGTTTTGGGTCCTAAGCATGGTTTCTATATTACAAATGATCACCAACAATTATTATGGTGAATACACATATCCCCCAACAGTTAAAATGCCGGTTCATACATTAAATCAAAAAATTAATAAAGTTTAAGCATGTATATATAAACATGATTAACAGCTTGTTCTAATTCATCTGACAATAATAATAGTCTGTTTAATTATTTGATTTAATCCCTAAAGCCTAACATGTGATGGAGAGATTATCAATTCAAATGGGAAGAGATAGAGATAAGGAACTTGCCTTATAATTTTCGGATTGAAAACCAACTACTCTTTCTCCTGTTTTCTTGTCCAAATGTCGGCAGCCTCCGGGCTGCCGTCGTACCCTCGCTCTAGTCAAATTAAGGGTATTACAATTTCTACCCCCAATTACAGCCTCTCTCTCTGGTCACGGCTTCTTTTTCTCTCTCAACCCTGACATCGCCTCTCTGTTCTCTCTGTGTGTGATGTACATTTAAAACCCTTCCTTTACTGTAACATATATATATATATATATCTCCCAAATAGTCCAAGATAAATTCTTTGGCCCAAATACTTAGTCCAATCCATTATTTCTAAATAAATAAATAGAACAATTAACTAAGCAATTAATTGATTTAATTAAATTAACTAAACAACAATTGACAAGTAAATCACATCACCTACAACCCAACAAGTAAATGCAAATAATTAAATAAACCATCAAATAACCAATTAAGTAAACATGGACAATTAAATAATTAAATAGCATAAAGAAACAAATACTTCAAATAATACAATTAATTCAAATCATGCCATAAAATTCAAATTATGCAATTAAATTAATTAAAATAAAACCTTTAAAATATAGGTGTATTACAACGGATGGATGACAATCAACCACTATGCTTATTTCTAGGTTAAACCTGGTGAAGAAAAGCCTGGAGTCGCTCTCCCTCTTGCTGCCTCATAGTGAGTAAACTAGATATGTTTTTCTCGATCCGCCAATTGTCGTAGTATTGGCCTATAAACTGGTCGCAGAGCTTCCAGAAGCTGTCCACTGATCCTCTTGGTAGGTGTTTAAACCAACTAAGTACTGGTCCGGAGAGACTTGTAGGAAACACCTTGCATATCAGGGCATCATCCTCGGTATCCAAATCCATCATCAACTAAATGTGGTACACATGTTCTATTGGGTCTTTAGTTCCGTCGAATGGCGTAAACGTTGGCTTGGTGAACTTCTTTGGCTTTGGGGGTAGAGGATTTCCTCAATGAAGGGTGATTCGACTATTCGGGCGGACGCTTGAGTGGCCTTGTCATTCATTGATGGAGTTTTCAGGTTCCACTCTTACTTCTTTATGTATCTTTGAACGTGAGTGCTTTGATTCGTTTTGTGCATTTCATCGAACGTCTCGTCTGCAGTTGACTCTCTTGGTGTCAAGAGCTGAGTATCTTTACGTTTTTCTTCCTGAGACTTCTCTTCCGATATCGCCTCTTTGCGCCGTGGATCCACGTTTACATATCCTATCTGATCTAGTTGTTGGTGGACATCGTCTTTGCTTGCTCTTACGATCTCCATTGGTAGACGCGGAAGCGGTGGTAGATCCCTCTGCACCATCCGAGATTTCAGTTCGGCATTCTCCCATCGCAGGGTTGACGAGCTGCATCAGCTCATAATGTCTGGTTTGTTCGTTCTTGTTTCATTGACGCTGAGTTATGATTCAGTGTGGAAATCGATGGGTCTTCCTTTTGCTTCCCACAGACGATGTTAGATGTAGATAAAAAAATCATTTCTTTCTATTGATGAAAACTTTTTCTCTTACACCAAACACTACGCCTCTTCTTTCCTTTCTTACTCTATTTATACATCTTTTTTCCTACCCTAATTTCTTTGTTTGATCCCCAAGTTCTCTTTCAATGGGCTTTCCTTTCTTCATGGGCTGGCTTGTATCCGACTTAACTTCGTGCTTGTGGGCTTCAAAATGGGCCGATCGGATCAAGTGTGAGTTTAGTCTATTTGCCTTGGGTGACACATGGCGTGTTTTGTGTAGTGAGTGTATTTAATTCATTGGAACACATTTTTGTAACTTCAGCGGGCACGTGGATGCCTAAACAATTTGACTACCATAGAAGGCTAATTCTGATTCCCATACTGATGCAACCCATGTCGGTTTGCAACAAATGAAATAAATTGAACAAAAAAAACATATACACAGGAATGCAAAAACAGCCATATAACCAACATGTTTTCCTTATTGGTAAATCAGGCTGGAATATCAGTCATTTGAAAACAAAAATTACAAAGGTACTACCCAAAATTGAAAATAAATAAGAGCATTCAAATCGTCACGAACATGTTCAATATGTTAGTCTGAGAGATGGAAGACATGCAAATAAAATAAGATGTCCAGGAAAAAACATACAAATACAAATAAAAGAAACAAACTACTACGAAGGTCCGGAGTACAACTATATATGCATTTATATATAGATATACTTATACATACATACACACAGACAATGTCGTCCAGAGCCCCGCTAGTTCCAAACCATTTTTCGCAAATTAGGTTTTCTTATTTCTTTTATTTTATTATAAGGGTATTTTTTACATTTCACTTGGTAAATTAACAAAATGTCCTTAATTGCAAAATTTTGAAAATGCGGAAGATAAATTGAACACGATATTTTCACATCTTGTATATAATGAGAGGGTTTGTTTGCACTGTACCCTATATAGCTTTTAATTTGTTACCAATATGCATAACCAAAACATTTTATCTTTCTAACTATGAATTCCAGAGTATGCTCGTACAACAAAAGTGAACGAGAAGATTGATGTGTATAGTTACGGAGTAATCCTTCTGGAACTAGCAACCGGAAGGAAAGCCAGTGATGGAGATGAAGAAATGGGGCTAGCAGGATGGGCATGGCATCAATTACAAGAAGGCAAGTCCATAGAAGATGCATTGGATGAGGAGATCAAGGAACCTTGTTACTTGGAGGAGATGAGTGGTGTGTTCAAACTTGGGATCAATTGTACTTGCACATTGCCTTCCACCAGACCCACCATGAAGGAGGTTTTGCAAATACTGTTACGGTGCAACAAGACGATGGCATTTCAAAAGAATAATGGGGGAAGTGAGTATAATGCCGCTCCCCTGCTCAAGAATTCTAAGCGAGAGAGGAGGTTAGAAACCGACGATGATGATTTGGCGTCAAATGTTTGATGCTGTTGAGAAATTTCACAAATAAGCAAGAAAAATTTGGTAAATTTCACTACTATAGTGGTGAACTTTTCCAATTGCATGGAACAAAAACTTAGAAAAGGTTTTCGTAATTACCCTATTTAGAGTAATTAAATGGTAAAATGAATTTTAGTGAAAACATTAAAAGTCTTTTGTTTTATGTACCAAAGTACTTTTTTAACATTAAAAGTCTTTTATTTTATGTATCAAAGTTTTTTTTTCCCTAATTTGTACTCACACATCCCTTCTAAGGAATTATTGGTATCTAACAGGAATCGATCCTAAGACCTGATACTTCATGAAACATCTGGATCCAAATATTTTTTAACTAGACCAACCCCTTGTAGTTACAACATAAATTTCAAATTATTGTTAAAATCCTTTTTCTTTTATAAGTAAAATATTCTTTTCAAAACACATATTGCTCGAAGTAATTGAACGTATAATTTGACCAAAAATCCCTGCTAAAACGAAACATAGATTTATCAACCAAACTACCTGTTACACCTATAAAATTAAATTTCTTATAATTGATAACAAAAATATTAAATGATTGCAAGTTAAGTGGTTAGATTATGTAAATTTTTCAATTTATGTTAGTTGGTTAGGGCTTTAGGGGAAGGACTAGGAGATGAAATATCCACTAAGCAAATGAGAACTTTTTAGGAAAAATTATACTCTTATCCCTTAAAATTTAGGTAAATTACACATAGACAAAGGGTTTGGTTTTAATTACTTTGGCCTCCTTTGAGATTGCGTGTCTACTCAACGACGCCTTTGCTCACAATGAAAATTCAAAAAATAACTAAATTGTCATTTTCTTGTGTTAAAAAACCTTAATAAACTTATATTTTGACATAAAATAAAAAAATACCATGAAATACCACTCAAATGCAAAGTATCAATTTTCATACCAATTTTATATTATTAATGTAATGTTTCTCATTTTTTATTATTTTTCGGGATTTATTTATTTTGCGTCTCATTTTGCGTGTCACGCACCAGTTAGCATGCCAAGAGGGTTTCAATATTTAATGATTTTTTGATTAAGTGTTTATCGGAAGAATTGATTTGTACACAATTTCACCTCAAACCGCACATTAACAAAGTCTTTTCTTCAAAAAACCGAAAGTGATATTCTATAGATCAACAATCTTCCAAATACACACTGTTGATTTGGCTTGGAAGCTAGTGTAACGGGTGGACATTTGCCCATTTACCCAAAAGCTTAAGCTATTGAGTAGTGCCCCATCCAGATCCGATGTGGGACAAATGACTCTTGTTACATTCTCCCCCACCCAAACCGCAATTCCTTCGTAGCGACTCGGGTTACCCTGCCTACCCGAGTTGGAAACTCAGACGCACTTGCCCATTTATTCAAAAGCTCAAACTATTGGGTAGTGCTGCATACTCACCCATTTATACCTAATCACTTTCCTATTTGGATCCAATGTGGGACAAATGACCCCTGTTACAACTATCCAATAAACTTTTATCCATATCAGTATTGTGTAAGTCTCGGACTAAACATCTTAAATGAATGCAATGCTCATGTTTCTTTCGAGGAATGGGCATAATTATGTACAAATCAATTCTCTCCTAATGGAGTTCTTTTTATCGGACAAAAATAATGATATCTCGAATTTTCTTTACTCGTAAATCCTCCTTCAATTATACAGAAATTAAGCAGAGTTACCAATAAGTTTTGCTAGATTTATTGAGTGAAGCTTTTATCTTATTTTAAAAGGACAATTTGATCCTTTTGAATAAGAAGTCGAAGGCATTTTAAACCTAAATAATTATTCCCAATTTATTTGTAATTATTTTGCTTAATTCAATTAAACTGAAAACTAACTTTAAAAATAAACTACTCTTAAATGTAATTTTCTCTTATTTATTTTTGCTAAGGTGGCATTTTCAATTGACTTTGTCAACGCCTACCAGGGCCACTAATAATAATAATAAATCAGCGTAAACCTAAGATTTTATAACTATTGCTGCAACTAATATCACAATTACATAATTAATAATTTCTGACTCCATTAATGAAGAAACTTCAATTTTGATTGAAATACTCGAACAAATTAAATCTAATGTAAATACACCATTTGGTTTGAAAATTCAATGATTTATCTTTGAAATTTTTACCTATTTGATTGTTGACCAACGTAAGCTCAGAAGTTTCTAGGGCAAACTACAATGACTTCCCCTGAGGTTTACACTAATTGCAATTAAACCTGAGGTTTGTCATTTTACTGCAATGTGAATCCTTGAGGTTTTTCCCATTTTGCAATCACCTCCCCTCCGTACAAAAAATAATATTTTTTCTCAAAAAAATAGTTTGCAGTGACTAAAATGTCCATCAACAACGTAAAAAGTTGCTATTACCCTTGTAATGTAAACAAATGACAATAAAAATCATGTTAAGTGGACCAAATTGCCTTTAAACCACTAACTCACCATTGTCTCTCTCTAACCCACCTTCACCACTTCACTACCACCATCCCTTATTATGCGAAATCCATCTGTAACCTCTGCCACCAATACTGCCCACCCCTTCTTTCTCTCTCTCTACCCACCACTGCAATCTTTGTCACCACAACCAAAACCCATCAGTTGAACCCGTGAAAAACCCACAAAAAATCCAACCAATTGAACCCATTAAAAACTAAAACCCAGCCAATTGAATTCAAGTAATATTCGAACAGTATATCCAATCTGTGAAATGGTTATAAAAATATAATTAATATGCTGATTATGGTAATGAAGAAGGAAATTGAAATCATCAGACTGCCTTTTGCTCGCCGGTCGATTCTCCCTCTTGCTCGCTGGCCGCCGTGCAATTTGAAGTTCTTGCAGATGCGGGAGGCGGTGGCCTCAGAGACTGAGTCCGGATGGGAGAAGGCGGTGTGGTCGGCAATGGCAACTAGCAGCGGGGGATAAAACAACGGTGAGGACTGTGAATCAGTCGCGATTCTGGCGACGAGACTATGAATCAGTCGCAATTACGACGAATTGGGTTTAATCGTGGTTTGATTGTATTATTCATGGGTTCGATTAAGATCGGGTGGAAGAAGTGGTGGGGGTGGGGGTGGGGGTGGGGGTGACATGGGTTTCAGATTGGGTGGTGGCGGCGATGGTGGTTGATGGTAAAAACGGGTCGGCGTGTTGGAGGTGGCGATGGACACACTTCTTGTTCAACAAATCAAAGAGGGCAACAAATCAAAGAAGGCTAAAGAGGACAAAAAAAAAAAAAAATTCCCAGCTGCGGTAAGAAGATGCAAGGGAATAAAATTGAACCCAATTGCTACAGGCCCTAAGGAGCTCTCTCATGTATTCTCTGTCAGCCAAATAAAAGGGGCAATATCATAGCTGTGCCATCGCCGCCGTGGGCCGAAGCTACGTCGGCCACCACAGATCACGTTGCAGATCGCCGCCACCACCGTCCTCAACCCCCCCACAACCACCACCGATATGTATTGCGAAACAATTATGCAAAGATCTCGCGCTCAGCGACAGAGAGGTTGATCTCGTGACCAGGTTCAAAGTTAGATCACGATGGTAGTGGCGTGGTTCACGGCGATAGCTTCAACATAGTTCATGGTAGCGGCGGCGGTGTTGATAAGAGAGAAAGGATGTGGGGGGGAGATAAAAAAAAAAGGGAAGAAAAGTAATTGTATGGTTGAGGGCAAAATAGTCATTTTAATTTTTAGATATTTAACAATATAATAACGAGGGTAAATAAATTCATCACAAAATCTGATATAGGGAGGTCTTTGTAAAAAAATGCCAAACCTTAAGTTTGTTTGTTATTAGGCCAAACTTCAGGGGAGGTCATTGTAATTTGTCCAAGTTTCTACAACTGGGTAGTCAAATTTTACATCCATGTACCAAGAGGCTAACATTGGAGTTTTTGTTATTTTATGTTAAAATATAAGATTATTAAGATATTTTAACATAAAAATATAACAACTTAATTAAAATTTTAATTTTTATTAATGACAGAAGTGTCATGAAACACATACGTCATATCTCATAGAATGTTAAATAATAGTTTCTATGTTGACCAAGTCAAGTCTAAAAAATAAAAATACAAATAGTCAGGTCAACTTGGGCCACAATTGTTTGGTTTTGTACGTTTATGGAGAAAAAATTAGTGCGATGTGAAGTTATTTCCTCGTCTTTGCACTATCTATGTGGGTCTACGTTCAAAAAAGGCGTTCCGCACGGAAAATTACAAGAAGTAGCATCTTCCACGTTCTTTTGTGTTCACATTACGTTTGGTGTGTTTTTCTCCAAGAATAATAGTGTGTTTGTGGTACTTAATAATTTATCTTATTTCAGTAAAAGAAACTGCATTTATATATATATATATATATATATATATATTATCAATCACGATTATAAATATCTTTTGTATGTTGAAAACTATAAATATACAAAAAGACATGATTAAATTTAGGCTCATCAATATTAGTCCAATGGAAATTAAAATTTTCATCTCAAATTCAAGCTTAATTGTAAAATTAGTTGTCCGAATTAAAAGGATGGATTGAATTGAATCTGATCCGATTTATCCAATCCAAGTCATACCCTTACTTCCCTCCCAACATTTCATGTAGGCAAGCTTAGAATTAATATATGGTTATTTTTATTTATTTATTTATTATTTATGAGCTTTCTTGAAGTCATTGGATGAAAATTCCCGACATACTTTTCTATAAACAGTAGTGTATAGTTGCGATCAATTTAATTTTTCAATCAGCAATTTTCATTGTACTACGTAGTACCATTTATGCAATGAGCCAATTTTTTGTTAATTGATAAATTTGTGTAGAATATAAGAGCTACTCCCTCGTCTTATATTAGTTGTTCAATTTAAAAAATTTGACTCATTATTATTTTTTATTTTTGAGTCATTTGAGATCATTTTTAGTCATATTCTTTTTATATACTTATATATTACCTATATCCCATATTAAATGTCTATTTTAGTAATTTTGACTCACAAAAATTGTGAATTAAACTTTTTGAAAATGACAACTAATATGGGACAGAGATAATACTAGTTTGCTTTTGGTTAATGAAAAGTCATTCGTTTTAAGCATAAGAGTTAGCAAATTAGTATTTCATTTTTTCATTGATGCCTCAATAGTTCAATGGATTAGTTCCGTCGGTGAATTTTGGAGTACCAGATTTCGACTCTCTGCATCTTAAAAAAAAAAAAGATTAATTTCTATTTTTATCAAAAAAAAAAAAAAATGTATTTCATTTTTCCTATTTTTAATTCCATAATTATGTTTTGGGACAACGTTTAGTTATGTTTCTATACTCAAATCTTTTTTTGTTAATTTTTTGAGAATTTCTATACTCAATCTCCTCTAAAAGAAGATTAAAGGAAAATGTGCTGTATAAATAAGAGAGTATTATAATCTGATGATTGTAACGTTATATTTAAACATAGGAAAAGAAAACAATAATGACTACAATGATTTAACGTAAGAGGGAAAATGCTTGGAAATGTCAAGATTTAGCGTGTGAGGGGATCCAAGGGTTGATTGGTGGAGTAGAATCTTCTTATCTTTAAACATACGCTGAGGGTGGCGTTCTCAGTTGACTGACTGTTCCAAGGCCCATCAGGGGCCCACTAATAAGAGACCCTTTGAACTTTCAAAGTGGAATTTTTATATTCTTATTATTATAATTAATTAATTAATTAATTTTTTTTAATGTCGAAATGAGTGGTTTTCACAACGCCACCCACAATCAGCAGTTGCATTGAGGTTATCTTGAGATTTCTAAGCCACTTTAATTTTTATCTATTAAATATTATTTTTATTATTATATTTAATCTTTTAAAATTATTTTTAATAATTTCATCCTTTAATATTTTTGAAGGTCATTCTCTATCTCTTACATTTCATGAATAGGCCGACTTAATAGTAGAAAATGAAATTATAATATTATTATTGTTTATTGACTAATTTTGTTCTACATTGTTTAATCTATTAGTTTTAAAATTCCAATGAAAAATTTCTTTCTTCTTTAATACTATGATAGAAATAAGTTAATGTAACAACTCCATATACTCATACATCCTTTCAGAGTTGCATGATTCTTTGATCATTTAATTATTTTACCTTTAAATGGAAGGAAAAATACATATTGAAATTTACCATGAAATTTCTGATCTTCATCATCATAATAATAATAATAATAATAATACTAATACTGTTATCAACAAAAACAGCACAATGTCTGTCATAGGGCCATGTTTTGTTCCAATCATAACATCATCAACTCCTTTTCTTGGGTGGCAAAAGCTGTTCCGAACTCTCCTTAAACATGGATGAAAATTTTGTTTTAATTTTTTTTGATTCTTTGTTATATATATATATAATGAATAAAATCTTGACAGTCTTCATTGTCCATGTCAAGATTTTATTCATTGCATAAATTGCAAGTACATGTTATTCGAGTGATTGTGCTATTTCTCGTGTCTAAAAATTTGTGTTCAATTCTTACATCCTTCTCTCCACCTAACCACGAACCATTAACCCCTAACTTTCTCACCTTAATATATATATTTATTGACTTCCTTTTCTAATAGAATTCCAGGCATACAAATGTATTAGGAATTTTTGGATAATCTAAGTCGTCCACTGTTATTATTAGCCTCGGCACATCGATTTGTGTAAGAAATTTTTTAGCTTCACTCGTGTATATCACTCAACTATGAAAGATGGATATATATAATTTTGATTTAAGAGCTCTAGAATTTAATTTAAGTGGAAGGTTTTAGGGATTGTTATATCACTTGTTCAACCTGATTTAAATTGAACATTGATTAATGACATGTACAATTCATGAAAGAGAAAATATAAGAAGCAAATCACATCAACTACCATGTTGTTCCAATGATTAAATTAGACCTCCTATTTATTAACCTGTATTTGAGGCTTACACCCACCTTCTCTTCAAAACACGAATTTATTAACCTGTATCATAGGCTTGCACCCCCTTCCCTTTAAAACACTAATCCTAACATCCTTGTCATGAGAAAACAAAAAAAAAAGGGAGGAGACTTTTAGCACCACATTTTGTATCAAAATTCTCCATAGAGACTTTTAGCATTTTCCATTGAAGACTTGTTGAAAATAAAAGTATTATTATGTTATTGGTCCATCAAATACTTATCAAACAGAGAATAGTATAATTTTGCTTTTGAAATTTCCATGTTTGAATTTCAGCCGTTGACTTTGAAGATTGCATTTCCTGTCAGACCAATTCGAATAAACTCTCCTACCTGGAAAAGTAAAACTCGGCCAAACCCAGATTGTTGCTTTGCAGAGAGACCCAAAACCCACCCCTCCAAATGTCGAAAATATCCCCAACATTTCTCCAAATCACACTCTCTCTCCTCATTTTCACCCTACCCGTCCATGGAAACTCACAAACCACCGCCGATCAAGAGCAAGCAATCCTACTGAAGCTGAAACAACACTGGTCCAATCCACCCTCCATCGAACATTGGAACTCAACCTCAACCCACTGTACATGGCCGGAGATCAACTGCACAGGTGGCTCTGTGATTGGACTCTCACTCGCTGAAAAAAACATCAACGGAACAATCCCACCATTCATTTGCGACCTCCAAAACTTGACCCTTCTTAGTCTTCTAAATAATTTCATCCACGGACCGTTCCCTACTGTCCTCTACAACTGTTCCAAACTTCAAACACTCGACATCTCTCAAAATTACTTCGTCGGATCAATTCCCAGCGACATCCACCGGTTGTCCTCTCAGCTCCGGGAGCTCAACATCGCCTACAATAACTTCACCGGTGACATTCCCGCCTCAATTGGGCGGTTTTCGGAGCTCAGGACTCTTAATATTGAACTAAACCTGTTCAACGGAACTTTCCCGCCAGAAATTGGAAACT